AAAATGTTTTTTTATTAGTTGTTCCCCTCTTATTCTAAACAATATCAATGAATATTTTATAATGAATGGTAGTCGCTATGAAGGCAGCAGTTTTGAGTTGTCTTGATGGACATCATATGTTGAAATTAGTGAAACGTTATACTGCTTCTGCACTCCCCAATGTGACATTTTGGTGTGTAAATCACCGCAACAACTTCAAAAATTGATGAGCTAACCCTTCTTACGCCAGAATCAAAATAATTAGTAGAACATTTGGCTGTTACGCTACTTGTCGGTTCTCTACGTTACCAATGTTTTTTGGCTAAACTGAAGGTCTTAATAGCTTTTGAAAACCTCTAAAACTAAAATAAAGTGTTTATGAAAGTTTCTTAGACTGTTATAAGAGAGATTTGAGACCATGATGAGCAATACATAATATGCGTCGGCCATTTTATTTTTTCCGGCTCATCCGCGCTTAGTGATACACAGATGGATTATTATCGTCCTTAACTGTCTGACACGTGTGTTGTGAATGCATAAAACACATATTTTGGTGCAACGGGATCGTCTTGTTTACAGAACAACTATTGTTCCGTTGGAAGAGACAAAAGTTTCGATTTCGTTTTTTTTGTGTCTTTTTTTTATATATAAATGTATTATTTAACACAGACGTTGAAAGAAAAACCAGTGTTTAACAATACACAATAAATATTCCAAAATGAAACTGGGTACAGTCTTAATTTCAAAAATTTATTGTATATTTAAAATTTTAATATGATTTTGTTTTTGGTTGGTAATATTTAAATTTTTATTTTAAGCATCTTGATTATTCTGGAGTTTCATCTTTTTTGTATAAATGGAAGTATTAGTCTTTCTGGTTACAAAATGTATAATACTAGCTGATGTACCAGGGGGAAAAATAAGGAGGCCAGATCCGAGTGATGGCCCTCTATGTTACTTACCTGAGAAACCTAAAAGTACATGCCAGGTTTGGTGACAATCGGTCCTGTTGTTCGCCAGTTATAAACGGACACATTCACAGCCTTTTGTCAATCAATAGTTTAAGTTGGTTATGAAGAGTATTTTTTTATGATTAATAACGCTGCTGGAGACAACTTTACATTTGAGTTTATAGTATTTATTTAAATCAATGCTGTTCCTCGAATTGTCCCGTATATTATGTTCATTCTCGTTGTAAGTGATTTCTCAAGAATATTCAATCTTATATGCAAACGACATTGTCTTCAACTAATTAATCTACAGCGTTTAAGTGACGCCATTTGTCCAATAAAAAAAAAACATAACATTTTTTTCTTTCTTGACTTTATTGTTTTACTAAATGAGCGAAAAACAAATTAATTTTTAAATATTTTTGTCTACTTTTTAAATGCAAATGGACCGACTGGAATTCAAGTATATTGATGTATATATAATAAGTTACGGTGAGATTCGGACTCATGTTCAGTACCCTTTGTGTGTTTGTTGTTAAGCACAAAGCTACACAATGGGCTATCTGTGGAGTGCCCATCGCAGGTATTGAAACCCGATTCTTAATGTTATAAGTCCTCAGGCTCATCGCTGAGCCACTGGGGGATCTCCAGCACTGAAACAATAACATTAAGCTTTAGAAAGGTGAAGCATGACGTTTAGGACTTTTTTCGTTTGTTAAATAGGATTTCTGAAGTTTTCTTAGAGATACCTTCTCTTGTTACTGTATTTTTTCTTACTCATCATGTCAGTTAGGGACCGATAAAAACAAATGATAATTAAGAAAACCCCGAAGCTTCGACTGTTATGTTAAGGAAATAAAAGTGCCTTTCAGGAGCGATTACAAAAAAAAACCTTTGCCCCTTTTAAAAACAAATAAAAAATCTATATTATTTTGTCTTCTTTTTTAGAAAGCACCGTGTTAAACACACAGACAAAAAAAAATAGAGCCCTATAAACTCTTCATATTGTACGTATCAAAGATTGGAGAGTGTAGGCAATTTTTGAATGGGATTTTATCATTCCATAATTGCAAATTACATTAAAAAAGATCGTATTATGGAAACATCATTATTTAAGATCGTACTGAAAACAATGGCCATAAAAACTAAGACAACACAGAAAACACATCAGCTTTTAAAGCAACTTAATCATAAAAAGAGTGATAAAACTATTACCAATAGTTGAATATCTAAATTTGACTGTACAGTTATGCTTTTGTGTTAAATATTTGTAAGTACTACTATTTCTAAAAAAAACACGACATACCGCTCTTAAATAACTCGCCATAGTTATTCTGATTCTGTTTTAGATCCTTCCTTTTAGGATAAACGTCCTTTTCCCTTCTTCCTAAGTCTGTGGACTTATAACGTTAAAATTGGGTTTGGATACCCGTGGCGGGCAGAGTACAGATAACCCATTGTGTAGCTTTGTGCTTAACAGCAAAAATAAAAAACAAACAAACAAACCCTTCTCCCTAACAAAGAAAGCATACAATTACAGTTTAAAAATTTATTATGTATTTTCTGTGTTATTGCGCATGATTATAGCTTAATTGTTCAGGTCTATATTTTGTACTCTTTTTCAGTCTAGTAATTGTTGGTATAACTGCAGTGTTGTTAGTATTTTTGTTTAATTTTTTGGCGACTCATATGTCATTAAAGACCCTGTAACCAGCATATACTTGGCCTCACAAGCAAACGGTGTACAATTAATCTTAAAAAATGTGTTTAAGTAATCATTGGGTTTCATTGACCGGGCCCGGCATGGCCAGGTGGTTAGAGCGCTGTGTGTTCGAATCCCCGTCCCACCAAACATGCTCGCCCTTTCAGCCATAGGGGCGTTATAATGTGACGGTCAATCCCACTACTCGTTGGTAAGAGTTGGCGGTGGGTTGTGATGACTAGCTGCCTTCTCTATTGTCTTACACTGCTAAATTAGGGACGGCTAGCGCAGATAGCCCTCGTGTAGCTTTGCGCGAAATTCAAACCAACCCGTTTGGACCCCATCAATAATCATAGGGTAAATGGGTCGTTTGATAAAGGGCAAATGAAAGGGTGCAAATAGATTATGAATCTACTGTGGTACGTGTTTTTTCGGAAATACTATACATATATATACTGATGTAGTTCGTATGGCAAATTCTTAGAAAATTTTATTTTATATAATTATTCATTTTGTCAGTCATTATGTATTTTAGGTGTTTTGTAATTTAGCTCATTTGGCATTTTTTTTTTCTGAGAAGAGTTTCCTTGATAAAAAGTTATCAAATTTCATTTAAATGGCACTGTCTTAAATAAATTTATTTTTCTTTGTCAAATGCTTACTGTTTTAACACTTACCTAATAACGTCTGTTGAACAACTGATTTTAATTTTGTTTTTCAGCCACCAGAGGAAATACAGAGCTGGTTTGGCGTAAGAGATGCTAAAGAGCATGAAGCCTTCTGCCCTCAAGTTCACATCAATTCAGAAGCAGGATTTGTAACAAGGGGTGTAGAAGACTGTCTCTACCTTGATGTGTACTGTCGACAGGTTTGCCAGCTGTTTATTTCTCTATTTTGTATGGTAATTCGGCCGAGCAGGTTAAAGTTAATTTTAGTTTCTGCAGTTGCAACTTCAACATTATACCACCTTTTTTCTTTTATGAAATGATTGCAGTATGTTTTTTTTAATATGACACACCAGGTTTACTAGAACATGTCAGTATATTTCTGATTCCCAATACTATGTTACAGTATGTTTTTTTAATATGACACACCAGGTTTACTAGAACATGTCAGTATTTCTGATTCCCAATATTATGTTACAGTATGTTTTTTGTAATATGATACACCAGGTTTACTAGAACATGTCAGTATTTCTGATTCCCAATATTATGTTACAGTATGTTTTTTTTAATATGATACACCAGGTTTACTAGAACATGTCAGTATTTCTGATTCCCAGTACTATGTTACAGTATGTTTTTTTTTAATATGATACACCAGGTTTACTAGAACACGTCAGTATTTCTGATTCCCAATATTATGTTACAGTATGTTTTTTTAATATGATACACCAGGTTTACTAGAACATGTCAGTATTTCTAATTCCCAATACTATGTTGTTGTTTTTTCTTCTTTTGCTTTCAAATTTTTATCCAATTTGTTTGACATTTGGACAAAATACTTCATATATCCTTAGGTTATTCAATATAATTTCGTATTCATATCTATGAAAAACTGAACATTACAGGTTTACGGACCATGGCTGGTAGTGTTAGAATGACATTGGCTTTTTTAGGAAATGCATAAGCTTATTTTTTTCTTATGATCTTGCAGTGGAAAATTCAAAAATTTATAATTTATTGTTCATTATGTGCACTTAAATCGTTAAATACTACCAATTTAATGTTATTAGTTAGTTATTTTTAGGATTTTCCATTAAAAATGCCCTCCAGTCACGCAGCGGTAAGTCTGCAGGCTTACGACGCTAAAAATCGGGTTTAGATACCTGTGGTGAGCAGAGCATCGATAGCTCATTGTGTAGCTTTGCGCTTAACAACAACTAAACAACCACAAAGAGTTTATAGAAAAGTAACTCTAAGGTTGTTTATAAGTACTTTTAAATAATAATTACAGAGATGGTTTAACTATAGTGGTTTTAATACTAAAAAAGTATTCTGAGCTTTATAAGCTGACACTGACATAACTCAAGTTTTCTGCTAATTTCTCTCTTTTACCTTTAAATTATCAGTTGCTTACGTATCTTTCATTACCGGTGGGGCCCGTCATGGCCAGGTGATTAGGGCGCTCGATTCGCAATCTGAGGGTCGCGGGTTCGAATTCCCGTCCCACCAAATATGCTCGCCCTTTCAGCCGTGGGGAGGTTCTAATGTGACGGCCAATCTCACTAGTCGCTGGTAAAAGAGTAGCCCAAGAATTGGCGGTGAGTGGTAATGACTAGCTGCCTTCCCTCTAGACTTACACTGCTAAATTGGGGACGGCTAGCGCAGATAGCCCTCGTGTAGCTTTGCGCGAAATTCAAAATAAACAATTCAGAATGAATAACAAAGCGACTCTTGATTAAAATTTTGATTAACCAAACAAGATCTTCTTTATTTACTCATTTACTGTTCCTAAATTATCCAACTTACCATATTTTTGCTAGTTTTCTTTTCATGGATCATGTTACAAAAATAGGATGGACTCTTGCCACTTATCACTTTTTTTGTCTTGTCGCTAGAGAGTGATTTTCATGTAGATTGTCGAACAAATCCAATGGTGGCTCAGTGTTTGGTGATATTTCGGAACATGATTCGACAGAAATCGTAGACTTTTCAGCAGGTTAATTTACTTCTGGTAAGTCTTTTCTGAAGCCAGCTATTTAGCTGCTTTCTTACCAAATTATCTCCAAAGAATATCACAGTGAATGACATTTGGTTTGGACCATCTGTGTATCTGGATTCCGCTTTGTTGCGTTTTAGTCTCGTTGTCTTTATTATTTTATAATTCCGCCATTGTACAACCTGTGTGGGTTGCGAGTTAGAACCCCATAACCGAACATGCTCACCCTTTCAGCTATGGGAGCATTATAATGTGACAATCAATCTCACTATTCGTTGGTAAAGAGTAGTCCAAGAGTTGGAAGTGAGTAGTGCTAACTAGCTGCCTTTCCCCAACTCTCACCTCTAAATTGGTGACATCTAGTGCAGATAGCCCTCGAAATTCAACAAACAAACAAACCGGTGGTGTATTTGTCGCGCAAAGTGCAGAAATTTGCTTGTCATAGAATGTGAAAGTCTCTAAGCTAGTCTCACGTCACATCTGTATTTCAACATGAAGTCTATTCCCAATATGCGCTCTTCCTCAATGTCAATAACACGCACATCATGATGTGTAGAGAAGCTTTCCATAACGATTGGGACTTTTAACTTTCCTCTTGCTGGAACTTTATGTCCACTTGCTGTTTGCGTCAATCCACTTTCTTTTTTCGTCTCTAGAAGAAATTTCACATCTTTCATTACCAGATTAGGTTGAACAAGTTTATCTATAGTACAAGTGTCAATCAACATGGTAGGATATGGACTGGTTACTTCAAACATCCATTACTATTCTGAACTGGGGGACATGGAGTATTCTCATCCTCAGATTATCATATTGCCTTTATGATTTATTACCAACGGTTGATTCATCATAGTCTCGAATGTAATGCCCTCTCTTCCTCAGTGATAAGTCTGAAAGCTAAAAACCGAGTTTTGATACCAGTGGGGAGCACAGCACCGCTCGCCCACTGTGTAGATTTGTGTTTAATAACAAAACAAACGTATGCAATGTTCATGACTTTCACACTTATAACAGTTTCCTTTTTCTGTCATCCTTTGGGAGTAATTTACCTAAAGGCTTTTGTTGCCAGTTCCAGGCTATAAGTTCTTTTAAGTTGCAATTAACGTTCTTACTGTTCCTGTTTTACTTCTACCCTTCTGATTAAACAATTGTCTAACTAATCATGTGAGCTTTTCTAGATTTCCATCAGAGGGAGTTAATGTTTCCAAGTTACATCATCTGATGATCTCATACAAGGGCACCCGCAGATAAAAACATTAGGGGGGTCAAGTAACTCAGATTTGAAAAAAAATCATGAAGTGACCGCTAGCACCTTCCTGCGGGCGCCCATGACCCCGTAATTCCTAGATGTTGCTTTTAATTGATTATACTTAAGTCTCATCCTTACTCCTTGCCCTTTTGCTAAACTTTGGCTTAGAAAATTCGTTCTGATGTAACACTCTAAACCTGTTTGATAATATAGCCACTAATGCCTCATAGTTTTTTCGGCTCTTTGTTAGATGGTTGCTTGATATTGTTAAAACTCCTTTCAAAGTGCAAAAATACTTCTAGTTTACTGTTCACTATTCCATCTATTCACTTTAGATATCATTACGAACTATACTTTATATATATATATCCATGATATCCGTCTGTCATGATCTATTGGTTTATCCATTGGGTGATGTTGTTGAACTGGTTTGGTATAGTTGGAGTAGTCCAGGAAGGTCCTATGGTAACAAGCAGCGCACAGTAGTGGTAATAGGTGTGGACAAGATAGTTTCTTTTATTCCATATAGCATAGCTTATGACACGTAAGGTTGGAATTCTTGAGCTGATGTGGACACAGGTGTGTCTGATTTTATCCTTCCATCTGATATTTCAGTTTTTAGATGTTTTATCCTGGAGTTAGTGTTCATCTGTACTTTTACTTTACGTCGTTCGTGTTCTTTGTAGTTCTTCAAGTTTGTTGTTACAATTCTTCTATACATCAGTAATATTCATTTTATACTCCGTTTTATACTTCGTTGATGTTATTTTGAACTTCTTTTTCACTTCTTCAAATTTATTTTTATAGTCCTTCTTCTCTCTGCACATTTTCAACCACTTCCTTCATCCCACTTGCGAAAAATTAAATTTTCTTTGTGATTCTTCTGTAAATCTCACTTGAATTATAGTCTTTCTTCTTGATACTTTAATTTTCCGTCTCTTTTTTTTCAGTGAATAAAAAAATAAATATATTCCTTAGGTTTGTAGTCTTTTGTAGGATGTTTGCCTTTTGAAACATATTCCATTTTTTCGTAATTTCATTAATTTAAGCAAATACAGTTTGAACATAAGATATATCACTCATTTAAAAATTTTATCATCATCAGTTATATCCTAATTTCCTCTAAATTCCTTTATATATTTAAACATATATCCACTGTTTGTTTCTTTATTTAACATTTTCTATATGCATGGATATCAGTAATTTCTATCCATTATATTCTTTCTTTAAATTTATATTCCATTCCTTTTTAATTCCGTATGTATTATCGTTTCTTATTTTTATTTACAAATGCTAAATTTTTTCTCTAACTCCTTTATTCATTAAAACACCTTATTTTTGCGCTACAGCTGAAATATTTTCAATCTTGTTTTCATTTTATATATTTTTCCATCACTACCGTTTCCTCTACATTAGTTTAATAGTCTCAAATAATAATGTTAATACTACCTGCATTTCTGTTTTCCCAAATGTATATTAATTATTGTTTTGTTAAACCTTTTTGCGATATTTTTAACTTGTTCTGCTTGAGCTTTCATCCCATATTTCAAGTTCTGACTCTCCTCAAACGTTTTCTTTATCTCCAATTCCAATATCTTTCATTTTGTTGCTTTCTTTTCCATTTCCAATTACCCTGAAACAATGTTTTCACCGCTTTCCTTCCTTCTTCTTTAGTATATCCAAATTACATGCAAACACATTTTCATTGTATTGATTACAATATTCTTTCTTACATCTGCCATGTAACATTGTGTTTTCTGTCTAAATCCAACCCAAAGTCCATTTTATGTATTTTTTATCCCCTCATCCATCCCTACATTTATTATCCGTAGTTAATAATGGAACTTAGCATCAGTATTAAACTTTTATTTCACTAAATATCCTCTGCAGGCGATAGAGAAACAGCTGCTGTAAAGAAGTGTTATTAGAAGAAAATATTCCATTGGAATAGTTTAGTATATATGTTGCTCTTCTTAAATGTGTGAAAGAAGGAGTACTTTACAATATTTTTAACATAGATTTATTTCTACCATGAATGTTTATTTTTTTTTAAAAGCGTCTTCTGCTCTTGCTGTGGGTCATCGTCCGAAACCACTCGTTGACAAGTTGATATCTTGAACTCACAATAACATATTATGTAGGAAAAAAAATCATCAAATCGGTACAAACTGTTGACGATACCTTCAGATAGTCTTTAATCAACCATGTTTTATATATTTTTTACTTTAATCAACGATTGTTTAAAATAGTCTTTACATTAATGAAAAATACGCCCATTTAGCAGTTGCATTAATCAACAATAATTTTGTAACATTTCTTTCCAATTTCTATATATCCTGTGTTAATCCCACGTCGACTTTCAACAACAATTTAGTTACGTAATAAAAGTTAATGATACTGTGTGGCAACTAGGGGTCATTGTGGCAACACAAGTTAATCAATTTCGATCTGTCTTATCTCTCATCAGTTGCCTGACAAACACGGTAACAACCCAGGACATCCTGTGGTGGTTTATTTCCACGGAGGAAAGTTTAAATATGGCGGAAAAGATCTTTACGGTCCCAAACTTCTTCTTGATTTAGAGCTGATCTTGGTGATAGTGAATTATCGACTGGGAATTTTTGGTAAGATCCAGTGAACAAGAAAATAGAATTTATTCGTGCAATAGTGTCGATTATTTTATTTATCTATAGGTATATTGTACAGTTAAAGCTAGAAATGACATTGTCACACATTATGCAGAGGCCAAAGAATAATACAAGATCCTCTGCTATGGTGGAATAAAAGGAAAATTATAAAACTATTTCCACTACATGTCAGAATGTACATGGCGTTTAAAACCTTTAGCAAAATTTTCAGCGTTAATTGTTGATTGTTCGACAGTCATAAATATTCTTTCATTATAAGCAGTATGGCTATATGTGTGTGGATATAAACAGTATTGGTATATAGGTGTGGATATAAACAGTGGTGGTTTATAGGTGTAGATATAAACAGTGGTGGTTTATAGGTGTGGATATAAACAGTGGTGGTTTATAGGTGCAGGTATGAACAGTATGAGTATATAGGTGTGGATATACACGGTGGTGGTATATAGGTCCAGGTATGAACAGTATGGGTATATAGCTGCAGGTATAAACAGTATTGGTATATAGGTGTGGATATAAACAGTGGTGGTTTATAGGTGCAGGTATGAACAGTATGAGTATATAGGTGTGGATATACACGGTGGTGGTATATAGGTCCAGGTATGAACAGTATGGGTAT